CAATATTCTAATTTTCTGAGACAGTCCTGTATATCTGAGACCTATAATATATTGATGAAAACCAGTATAATAGGGGACGTTTTAAGGGAAGTGTCCTCTGGGGGGAGTTTAGAGGGGACATCATCAAATCCTAATTCTATTGCAGAAGACTTTGTGATATCAGCAAATATCGCATCATTGTCCGAAGAATGAAGATTATATTGTATCCATTCTGATTTGTCTTTGGTGTCTTGACTCGTCTGAAGGACCTGGACCTTTCCCCGGACTCTTGGACCTTTGGGGGGGGGGAGGGAAGTTGGTGGAGTACCGGGCAGCGCTGCTGGCCTCCCATGGCATCGCCTCGATGGCCCTCGACTACCTCACACCTCAAATCACTAAGGAAACTGGGAAAATGGTGGACAATGATTACTTTGAGGTAAACCAGATGAGCTTCTACGGAACAATACAGTTTTTTAAACTCCCAAGAACATGAACATCTCATTGCAGTTGCGTTTGTGTCCATCTGAAAGTTATATTTACTCTTAATAAGATGTACAAAAGCTTTATCCTCAACAACAGTGAGGGAAATCCGTGTATATACATGTCATTTAAAGCATACAGTTCTACCTCAACAATATATGAATGTACATATTTTCCTTCTGCAGACGGCCTATAGAGTTCTGGAGCAACACCCTCAGATCCTCGGCAGCAGGATCGCAATGTTGGGTCTTTCCTTTGGCACCAGTGTCACTTTCAAAATGGCTGTTTACTCCCAGGTTGTGAAGGTAGGACCAGCTTAGTGAATTTCATCATATTGACGCAGATTTTTACAATTTGTTGTATTTAGTCTGTTCATGTCATATAAACTGCATACCGTCAATATGCGCCAACTATAAGAGCTTGTCTCTACCACGGACGTGTAAAGATTGTTACCATGTTTGAGAACACTATATTTCAAAACGTTTTTCTTCACTTGTCACTTTATGGGGTCTTTGACTTTATGGTTGAAGATAAGGGTTACTAACTAACTAACTCTAGCTTCAACGCGGAACTGGAACAGAACACATTTTTGTGGTGAATGGGTAAAAGGCCCTCTCGAATGCCATCTGACACAGCTCTGTTTACTTGACCGGATCTGAGGAACTCATTGAGGTCAGTTAAGCTTTTTAAAACACTGGAATTACACTAGTTTTTATTCTCTAGTAGCCAGCCAGCTCTATAAACATCCTGACCTCTTTTCTTCTGGTTTGAGCGTTGGGCAGGCTGAAATACCGTAGGTCTTTTCAACCTGTGGCTGCACCTGCCCGCCCCCCATGTGCTATCCCAAATACCTTAGCCCCCTTTGCCCAACTGCACCCTTTGTTAGTTGGCTCCATTTGGTCCATATGCTGCTTCGACGTCTCAACAACAACCTGAATGGAAGTGCCACAAATTAGTAAAAACTGTACGGAGTGGAATAAGGCCTAGCTGATCTAGGAAAGCTTCAACTCGGGCCATCAGATAAGCATTGAATTGATGCTTATCTGATGGCCTTATTGATAGTCAACACAGAACCAAGTTGACCTAACAGACTTGCGTGCCAGCACAATGGTCACTGTTGGACTCTTCTGCTACCCCTCATTCTAGATTGGCTTGAAGCTCTTCCTGAACACTTTTCCTCTTGTGTTCATGCAGCTGATAGTGGAGTGAACGCATTGAGTTGCCCGGGGCGTTTCTATGTCGTGTTCTTTGGGAGTCACATATCGGAAAACTGCCTTTGGAACAAAAAAAACCGTCTGCTTTCTGGCCCGGTGAGAGATTGTTGTCACAACAAACAGGGACTGATTTATCAGTTTTTGTTAGCTCCAGTTCCAACTCACCTCTCTCTCCATCACCCTAGAGGGGAAAGTCCTCCTAAGGACCGAACAAAAAGAAAAAAGTCAATGTAGTCCACAAAGTCTGGAGGTCGCTCCGTGGATAAAAAGTGTCCAGAACCATCATGTATTATCCTACCTATGTGTGTGTGTGTGTGTGTGTGTGTGTGTGTGTGTGTGTGTGTGAGGTGGGGGTTGGAGTTGCAGAGTGACTGTCCAATTTTGGAAGTCAATCCGACAGCCGTCCCCAGGGGCAGATTTTTGGTGGGTGTGAGTTTAGGCATGAGTAGAAAGTGATGAACACACACACACACACACACACACACACACACACACACACACACACACACACACACACACACACACACACACAAACAAAGGGTGTCAGCTTCACTGGTACTTTTCCTTTTCTTCAGAGAAAAGGAATCATGTGGTCAATAGCTGGCAGCTGGGCGCTCTGTTACAGGCAGCGTCCCTTCGGATCAGCTATTGAACTCCTGTCTTCGGTTTAAACTCAGCAGTGTAAAAAAAAGAGAGTATATTTTGATGCAGCCATAAGTGTTCAATTTCATTTGCTGCATTGAGCTCGTTTCCGTTTCTTGTTATTTCAGGATTTTGCTTTGGTTCATGTCAATGTCCTCTTTGCTCAGTTTACCTGTCATTTGTGCTCTGTGGTTTTTGTTGAGATGTTTTGTATGCCCTTTAGGTTTTCTATTCCATCTGAATTGTTTAAACAGCCCTTTAGTCCTTTTATATTTTTTAACTACATTTGTTTTTGACATCCAGCAGAAGGTTTACATTTGTTACAGAAACTCTAAAACTCCTCCTTACTGATTTTGATATTTAAAAAGAAAACTAAATATTCACTCAAATATAAAATGATAAAGAAATACATTCCTTTTTATTTTTGTCAACCATAAATCGATTTTAGGATGGATCCAGTTCCAAAATAAACTGATCTCTGGTAAATCTTTACCATGTGCACCATGCTGGTTTAGCGTGTTAGCATGCTAGCATTTGCTAATTAGCAGTAAACACAAAGTAGCCACAGCTGTGGCTATTTAGACAAAAACCAGACTACTTTATGGTGTTGGACTTTTTTTTTAAGGTAAAACCAATGTCATTACATTTTTTCCTGGACCACGATGGTGGTGGTCAGACCTGCACTGTCATCCCTGGAGCCATGTTGCTAGCATAGCTAAACATTTGATTATTTAACTTTTGTTCTGTTGTAACATTTATTTTATAATTAACATCAACCTTTGACATAGAGCCATTTGAAGTGAAACAAAAAGCTTTTGTACAGTGGTACACAGTAACTAGTAGATTGTCAGAAAAAATAAACTACTCAGGTGCGTTGGGGTGAAGTGGCTTGCTCGACGCCACTCTGGCTTGGTTTAAGTGTGCCTTATTGTTGTGGTACGTCTCGAGACCACTCGACCGGTGCCAAGGATAACATCAAGCATTGATAAAAATTAGCAATCTCAAGTTTTGATTTCAACCTGAATATGTGAAAAGCCCCTCCGCTTTTTGGAGCAAATAAGAGTCCATTGACGGCAGCTGCCAAGCTAAAAGCCACTGAGAGATAAGAACCACTTCACTTGAACGTCAACATTAATTTCCTAAATGGTTTATAAAAGATAATTTCTCAGTGTAGATAGTGTTTTATGTGATACATTAACTTTAAGAGATTTGATATGATAGTAGCTAAGTGTCTGGCTTTTTGTATTTTGCGGTTGAGATAAATGTATGTACCATTAGAAATCACACTCTCTCTATCTTTTAGGGGAATTTGATTAATGCTCCTTCCTTTATGCGTGTATTGCGATCGTGTGTTTGTTTACTCAAGTTAAATGCCTGTGTATGTGGCTGCTGTATTTGTGTTGCCGATCTGTTTCATGTGGTGCGTAATAAGATAAGGACCACTCCATGCAGTCTGCTGTCTGGCCTTTATCTGAGCAGCAGATTAGCGCAGGTGATTTCATTCCTGTGGAGGTTGGTTAGGCAGGGGTCAGGTTGGAGCACGAGCATGAACGTCATGTAGGGAGAGGGGAAAAGACAGGCCGAAACCAAAAAAAAGAGCAGAAATGATCAATTGTATGTGTCCCGAACTCCCTTTGACATCTGTGCGTTTTTGATGCTATTAGTTAACACCATATTCATTGGGGGAGTATTGTTCCATCACCCTAAAGACATGGGATGTGTTTTTGAATGAAGAAGTCAAATAATTGAACTTTAAATAGTTTGTGGGAAATGTGTGGGATTTACTGGTTTTGAATAGTGAAAACTGTTCCTGTGCTTGTACATTGATGAAGAATACTTAATTGCTGTATCATCTTATCGTTATATATTAGTTCAGATACGTTTTATGCACTCCACTTTTTACTGCATAATGTATTCCATGCTCCAAGCACCCACAGCTAGGCCTACCTCAGGACCTCAGGGTTTACCACCATGATTTGAATTTGACCCATGTCTTCTTAAACAAGGCTGGGGCAGTGTGTATCTGTACAAACTGCAAAACGTTCTGCATTACAAGGGATTTTTGTTGACATGGGCTGTGCATCTGCTGTAAGTGGATTAGGGGCGTAGTGACAACACTGCATCTAACCCCAAGCTACTTACTGCAACTTCATTCTTATGGGAGAACTGAGAATATACGTTAGTGGTGATTAACTTAATTTCTGTTTTATTATTGTTAGTATTCAAAGTATTTTCTTATGCTTGCGGGATTCTTGTCGATCCATCTTGGATCAAATTGTAGAAGTTAAATCAGCACTTCATATGAATTCGGAGAACTTCGTTTTGAAACTTCATAGGATACTGTAACTGATATTTGCAGATTGGATTGCACCTGCTAACCTTTTGCAATGCCAAGTGCTACTTACGCACAGTAAATTAAGTAGTGTTCTCAATTGGTGTGCACGTGTGTGGTGGCAGCAAAAGGCAAAACGTATCACGTTAGGCACATAGCCATTGCTGATTAGATCAGATAGATCAAGTACTGCACCAGCAGTAAGTCAGCTAAGGTTATAAACTGTGACCATATGTTCATTCATATCTGTGTGGGAAGAATCTTATTTCATTTAAGCAGTGACTTTGACACTAAAATAGGTGATTTTCCAGGTAATTATCCAGTTTATATCCAGCATTATGGGATTATATATGTATCTGAGTGTTGTATGGGAGAAGTTTTTATTTATCTGAATAGTGGGTCAGATAAAGTGGGTATCAGCTGAATATTTATCAGTTAATTTGATGCTTGTTTGATCCAACCAAAGAGGCAAGTTTACTAATAAAGCACTTTTCAGGAACAAGGCAATTTAAAGCACTTTACATTAAACATTAAAACTAACAAGAAAAAGAAGCACATTCTTAAAGGACAGTTGAATACTGTTAAACACTGTCATTAAAATAACAAATGAAATACAAAAATCATAATTATTTAAGTGAATTAAATTCAGAGAAGAAAAGCCAATATTTTAGAAGTTTGTTTTAGATATGTTATATTAAAATGTAATCGGAAACCCAATGATATTTAATTTAAATAATACAAAATCAGAGAAAGAAATAGCAGCCTGTTTTCACATAAGAGGCAGCAAACAGATGTTTTACCCTTAATGAATTCCTATAATTGACATTATTAAGTAGATATATATATATATATATATATATATATATATATATATATA